CGTCCTCCCTCCTCCCGCGTCGTCGTCGTCGTCGTCGCCTGCGTCGTCCTCTGTCTTTCCTCGTGTTCGTCGTCGTCGTCCTCTTTCGCGTCGTGGTCGTTTCCGTCGTCGTTGTCGCCGTGGTCGTCCTTCCTCATCCTCCCTCGTCGTCGTCGTCGTCCGTCGTCGGCTTCTCGTCGTCGTCCCTCCTATTTCGTCGCCGTCGTCGTCGCCGTCGTCGTCGTCGTCGTCGCCGTCGTCGTTGTCGTCGTCGTCGTCTTCCCTCCTCCCTCGTCGTTGTCGTCGTCGGCGTCGCCGTGCTTCCTCCTTTTTCGTCGTTCGCGTCGTCGCCATCCTCCCTCCTCTCTCGTCGTTGTCGTCGTTGTCGTCGTTGTCGTCGTTGTCGTCGTTGTCGCCGTCGTCGTCCTCCCTCCTCCCTCGTCGTCGTCTTCGTTGGCGACGTCGTTGTCGTCTTCGTCGTCGTCGTTGGCGTCGGCGTCGTCGTCGTCGTCTTCGTCGTCGACGTCGGCGTCGTCGTCGTCGCCGCCGTCGTCGTCGTCGTCGTCGTCGTCGTCGGCGTCGTTGACGTCGTCGTCGTCGTCGTCGCCGTCGTCGTTGTCGTCGTCGTCGGCGTCGTCATCGTCGTCGTCGTTGTCATCGTCGTCGTCGTCGTCGGCGTCGGGTCGTCGTCGTCGTCGTCGGTGTCGTCGTCGTCGTCGTCGTCGTCGTCGTTGTCGGCGTCGTCGAAGTCGTTGGAGACGTCGTCGGTGTCGTCGTAGTCGTTGTCGGCGGCGTCGTCGTCGTCGTCGTTGTCGCTGTCGTCGTCGGCGTCGCTGTCATTGCCAAGTGCCATTTGGTACCCACCGTCACGGTCTTAAGAGATTTTGCAAATCAAGTTGCGGGTGGGTGGGTGGGATGTTTGCGCGAGCAGTGGAGTGGACAACTCACTGCGAACAGAAATTCATTGCACCAAGTAGATTGCACAGCGTAGATTGCATTACACAGGTTGCATCGCATACATTGCACAGCATATACTGCAATAACATACTGTTTGGGGTCCACAGTGGCCAACCTTCTTCACATGGTATTTAAATATGTGTATGTATATATGTATGTGTGTGCACACTTATGTGTGTGTATATGTATGTATGCATGTGTGTATGTATGTATGTATGTATGTAGGTAGGTAGATAGGTAGGTAGGTATTTATATATATAGTTATGTGGGTGCATGTTTGTATGTATGCATGCATGCATGCATGCATGTATGCATGTGCGTATGTATGTATGTATGTATGTATGTATGTATGTATGTATGTAGGTATGTATGTATGTATGTATGTATGTATGTATGTATGTATAGTTGTATGTATGTATGTATGGATGGATGTATGTATGTATGCATGTATGTGTGTGTATGTATGTATGGATATATGCATATCTGTGTGTATGTATGCATGTATGTATGTATGTATGTATGTATGTATGTATGTATGTATGTATGTATGTATGTATGTATACGTGCATACATACGTATATATATATATATATGGAGGACGAGAGAGAAACACAGAGAGAGGGATAGAGATAGAGAGAGAGAGAAAAAAAAAAAAGAGAGAGGAAGAGAGAGAGAGAGAGAGAAAGAGAGAGAAGATCAGGGGGCGGCGAGCCCAGGGGTGGGTGGCCCAGCATTGTAGCCACGCTTCGCCCTCAAACGGGGGCAGTCCGCGCGCGTGCGCGCGTGCTTGAGTGCGCGCGCGTGCGCGAGCGTGCGCGTTCGTGCGCGTTCGTGCGCGCGTGCGTGCGCGAGTCCGACCCCGAGTGCGAGCAAATATTCGGGCGCGAGCGCGAGCGCGAGCGCGAGATTGAGACCGAGCCTGGACCCGAGCGCGAACCCGAGCCCCATCCAGAGGGCGCGGGCGCGCGTGCGTGTGCATGCGCACGCGCTTCCGATGTGTTCGACATGCGCTCAACCTTTCTCCCTATAAGCATCCTCCCTGTAGGAAGACCACGCTTCGGAGAGCTGGGCTCCTCGGCCGGGCCCCCACGAGCGCCTGACCAGGCAGGAACGCTGACGAGGAAGGCGCGGAGCTGATTGGCCGTGCAGAGCTTACACACACCATTGAGATATCGGAGTCCCCTGAATACTAGAGCTTGCTGCTTCAGGTGCCTGCTCCGATGACCTTTGATCAGAAGACATTTGTTCTTGTGCTGCAAGTTCTACTCCAGCTGGTTGCAAGGCCGGACCTATACGTACACACATACACATACACACTTTTCGAGTCGGCGGCGCAGAGGGTCCTCAGGCGCGAGCAGGTGGAAATGCTGCCTGCGATCGAACATTGTCGAAGGCACATTGTACAAGCCGTGCACAATTTAAAATGCAGAAATGAGTGGCGTGAAGGAGAAGCTTCAAATCCAAGCCAAACGTGCAGACACACACGCACACACGCACACACGCACACACTTACACCTACACCTACACCTACACCTACACCTACCCCTACCACTACACTTACACTTACACTTACACTTGAACTTACATTTATACTTACACTTACACATACACTGTCACTTACACTTACACTTACACTTACACTTACACTTACACTTTTGCGTCGCGGCCACGCGCGCGGCGGTGCGGCGTACCCAGAGCCCCGACGTCGCATTTTGTTTTGCACAACGTCGACCCTCAGAGGCCTGGACCCCTTCCCTGGGACCAGCTTTTAGCTCTGAGTCGTTTTTGTTGACGGTCCCGGGGCCCGGCGAGGGCCTCCAGAGGCCGAAAATGGCCAGAAAGCTCCCGTCGTGTTTTTGCTGCAGCGCGAGATCTGGGGAGTAAAACACACAAGGCAACACACACACACACACTTCCACATTCACACACACACACACTCACACACACACACACACACTTCCACACACACACACACTTCCACACACTTCCCCCCCCCACACACACACATTCACACACACACACACACACTTCCACACACTTCCCCACACACACACACACACTTCCCGAGGATCATCGAACCTCCGCCAGCCGCTCGGCCGGCCACCCGGGGTCCAGCGGCAAGTACCCGGCCCCCGCCATCAGGATACCGTAGATCCCCAGGATCATCTCGATGCACCTCGGCGACATCAGCGGCACGAGCGAGTCTGGCTCGACCCCGGCCTCGACGAGCCGCCCCGCGACCTGCGCGGCCATGGACCCCAGCTGCGAGTACGTGGCGGCCCTGTCATCCTCGACGAGCGCCGTGGCGGTGGCGTGCGGCCAGTCCGTCGTGCACCTCGCGAACGCCTCGTGCACGCGCTGGGAGCCGCAGGCCTCGAACTCCGGGCAAGTGGCGTCGCTCCACGCAAGCAGGCGGGCCCGCTCCTGCCGGTGCTCCTCGGCACGCGCGTGTCACCGCCAGCGTGCGCCTGTCCCGACGCCCGTCGAGACGGCACGGGCGCCACCAGGAGGGCCGACACAGGCTGCATGCGATCGGCGGAGCGGAGCGGGGCGAGCAGGCACCTTGGCCTACAGTCGGACCTAGGCCAGAAGAGCACCCCTCGAGGACAGGAGGCCCTCCATCGGCCAGGACAAGCAGGACATGCAAGGGTACCCTCCCCAGGATGCACGAGAGCATCCAGCAAGCACGAAGAGCACAAGCAAGGGCACCTTTCTGGAGCCGACCTCGATCTTGTGCCTCGGTCCGACTGTAACACGCGTACCGAGGATCATGGATCCTTGGAGCCGCTCAGGCCCACTTCGGCGCAGCGCCCCTCGCCCCCAGAGGCGAGCAGCCTCTGCAGGTGGTCCAGCGCGTACGCCGCCGACGGCTCCCCCAGGGAGCCGAGGCAGTGCACGACCTGGAGCTCCACGCCGCCGTCCTCGGGGGGCCGCCCCGGACGGGGCCGGAGCAGGATGGGACCGGAGGGTCGCGCTGCAGCGTCACCGATCTACTGCCGGTGCGTCCGCGGTGCCAGGGAGAAGGGGCATCGTCGGGGGCCTGGAAATGGGCACCAGCACCAACACAGGGGGTTGCCTCCACAGGGGGAGGACGATGATAGATTTCGGTGTTGGCGGTAATACTTCGGTTGCCTCGGAAGCCAGGAGTAGGACCACCACCACCGAGATCGGGATCTTCTTCCCCCGGTGGAGGCGCACCGCCGATACTGGTGCTGGTGTCAGCCTCTGGGCCTGCGAGCATCGGGCTCCAGATCGCGCCGCGTCGCCGATCTGAGCTGCACTCGCACGCAGCGTGCTGGCACGGAGCTCAACACGCAGGTTGGAGACGTGGGCCTGGCGCGATACGTTCGCCCAAACGCGTGCCAACACGTCCTGTGCCAACGTGCAGCGTGTTCAACCCAGACATTTTGAACACGGTACGTGTTGCGATTCAACACGGTCGTATCGAGGCAGGTTGGCGTTTTTTCTCATGCTGTGTTCCGAAATTTGGCCAGAATGTGGGGGAGCCGGTGGGTCTGAGCCTGAGCCAGTACTCAATATGCTTCTACCGGTCGCGCAGGCAGACTGAGGGTGGGGGTCATGACCAGTCGCCAGAAACCGGCCGCCAAAAGCAGACAAGATCTGGTGTTTGCGGCTACACGCAAGAGCGACCCTGGGGAAAAGATGCCTCAAATGCGCGGCTTTTTGAGCGCCGCGCGAGGCCAAACACTGGCGCGCAACACGCCACTGCCGCCTCGCGTTCGGCGATCGGGGGGGCCCTGGGGAGCCCGCGCCAAAGCTCACTCCAGCGAAGGGGCCGCTCTCACGTGTAGTTGATATTCGGAGAAGGGGGGGAGGGGGGGGGGGAAGGGGAAGGGGGGAGGGGGGGAAGGGGAGGGGAGGGGAGAGGGGGGGGGAGGCAGGGCGGCAGGGGGAGGGAAAGGGGGAGGGCCAGGGGCCCGCGCGGATGGGCCAAACAACACCTAAAGAGCAGCTGCCGGCCAAGTCGCCGATGCACCCGCGATTCGGCGACGCTCTCCGACCCCATCTGTCGCCGCGCCGCTTCTTCTCGACGCGCCCCAGTGGACGACGCCGACACCGCGGCAGACCCACAGCAAAGCTTCCGCCCCGCGCCCGAGTAGACGAGGCCGCCGCCGCGGCAAACCCTCGGCGAGCCCACCGCGCCCGAGGCGGCGTTTGCAGTGGCGCCCGCGACGCCTTCCCCGAGATGCGAGGCCGCGCGTCGGAACGAACGGCGCGGCGACGAATCTGCTCCGACCCTCCGATGCGGAGGAGGAGGACGAGGATACGAATAAGAATATCATAAAACATGAAAAGAAAAGGGAAACACATAACAATATTAGTACTACTAATGATAAGAAGAAGATACACAATAATATTAGTACTATTACTCATCATACTCATACTAAGAATGTTAATAGCAATGATACAGATGATAATAATAATAATAATAATAATGATGATGATAATGATAACAATGCAAATATGAATAATAATGAAAGAAGAAGAAACATAAGAGGAGGAGGAGGAGGAGAACGAGGAGGAGGAAAAAGAGGAGGGGTCCCACTCAGCAAGGGGGGGAGGGAGGCCCCAATGTCCTTGTACTGCAGCTCGAGCATGGGCGATGCGCCGAGCCATTGCCCGCGCCTTCGCCCTGACAAGTCATGGGATAGTATTACACCTGTCCCGAATTACACTATAGATCGTCTGGAAAATATCTATAGCAAGGGCTATGCTCACCAGAGCAGACATATCCAGGGACTTCCAAGCTCCAAATGTGAACATCCTAGACGGGTCCCCAGAGCCCCAAGATTCAAGAAGAAAGGGGAGGGCGGCTTTCACGGCAGGAAGAAAACGGGGACACTGCAGGTAGTGAATCATTTTCTCACCCAGTTCCAGGACACAACATCGGCATGCTTTCGTGGGCGCCGAATGACGTGCAGAACAGTTGCAGTGGTTCGAGATCGTGTTCAGGACCGATGAAAAGACGCATTGGGGAATGAACCGAATCCGCCTGTTCATCCTCGCTCCTATCAAGAACGCCTCCAGCTGGGAAGCTGTTTCACGGAACTTCTGGAGCCTCGAGAAGAGTACCTCACCGATCGTCGGCGCTTCGCCAATTTGACGGAACACAGCGTAAGTTTTGGCTTGCGGGCGTAAGCAGGCAGGAGAACGAGGAACGGCATGGAGACAACCCAGCTCGGCCTTCACAGCCATCAAATACCAGAACATAGAGCTAGTAACATACGGTTTTCCATATGTGCGTCATCAGCCAATCTTCGCCGTCTCAGATATCCTCATATCTATGCTCCCAGCGACAGAATGCTAGACTGCGGGCGGTAACTCTATAAGCGGCGGCTTTACAATGGAGGTGGATTTCCCGAACACCGCGTTTGAAGCCCAGCACCGTTAAATTCACCACCGTGCCGTGGCCGATGGCACTAAAGGGTTCCGCATGGATCAGCCGGGCAACTTCGCATTCTCGGCGCGAGACCACCTTGGGCGGCGGCAGCAGCTGCGCGACATCTCGACGCGGGGGATGCGAGCAGGCTGCGCGCGAACGCGTCGATGCCGAAGCGTCGGCCCACGGGGCGAATCTGAAGAGCGCCTTGTCCCCGGGATCGATCCAGGAAGGCTGCTCATAGGGCAGCCTTGCTGACGGCCTCTTCCGAGCATGAAATAGGACTCGTCGCGCCCTCTGAAGCTGATATAGACGCGCGGGGCATCATGCGGCACCTTAATCGCATTAATGAGAAACGCGGGCACCTGCATCTGCTGGAGGACATCGAACATGAAGGCGTGGGAAAGCGAAGGGAATGCAGCCTTAACGTCGCATGTAACACCTCTTGGGCGGGCGCGTCCTTCGACGCCCCTCCAGATCTGAAAGTTCCGGATCCAGGGAGATGGCGCGGTCGACGATTTGCCGCCAAGGGGGCAACCCAGCTTGCGCGAAATGGACGACCTCGGAAGCCACTCGCCTGAGGGGCAAGGGGTGGGCGCTAGCCAGCAGCGTGTCATCGGCGCTCACTAGAGCAAGCGGACGAGTTGAGGACGGAGGCTTGACCTGGCCAGGTTTTGCAACGGGGCCCCCCCCGCTCGGCGGGGAGGCTGCGAGCGAACAGTTGAAGGCAGCAGGGAACGAACCACATCTAAGCCCAGACAGGCACTGTTGATAGAGCGCATCGATAGCCATCCCACCACCCGCCTTCCAAACAGAAGAAGGAACACCGTCGACCCCTGGGCCGCTATTTTTCCTCAAAGCCACTCGCGCGAACTGCTCACGCCGCAGATCCCACGGGGCCCGCTGAGGGGGGGGGGTCTGAAAAAGCTGGTCCAGCAAATGAGAATCGACCCCCAGGGGTGGCTGGAACTTAGCGACCTCCCGTCCCCCGAGTATTCCGATATTCCGCGCGCTGCTTGGCGCGCTCGGACGGCTCCGCGGTCGTCTCTCCAGATTCATCAACAAGCCGCGAAGATAGATGCGCCTGCGACTGGGCCGCCACGCAGCCGCAATTTCTTGGATGCGCTGGACGCCGTTGTCTTTCTGCGAGGCAGGGGGGCTGGGGCCATCCTGCAACGCCATCTCTTCAGGTCTGCGAACTTCCCCCATGAGGTTACAAAAGAGAGGAAAAGAAGGCCAACAACGTCTGGCCAGTTAGAAACCTGATGGTCGCGAAGGCCACGCAGCATTGACCAGGCGCGAGGCGCGCGCGAAACAATCTCGCGACGCTCGCAACAGCGGGCGCGAGGAAGGGCAATAACCCGGGACATCTCCTGGAAGGCGGCGTCGGGGCCAAGCAGCACCGCTGCCTTTCTTTCGCGCGCCGCGCAGACTCATGGGCCGCCTCCCCCACCCACCCCCCCGCCCTCGCAGCAGGGGCCTCGGATAAAGATGCCTCCTCCAGCAACGACCGCAGCGGAATGCCATACTCGGGGCGGCAGAAAGCCCGCCACGAAGCACTGGGGCGCGAGGGCCTCGGAGTAGAAGTGGGAGAGAGACGAAAACGCCAGCGTGACCGCCGGGCAACTTCGGACCGGGGATGCCCAGCGAAAGGCCTGCGAGGGGGCTGAGGTCGAGGGCGTCGGAGGCGGGGGTGGGCGCGCATATGTGATCGAGCCGACCAAGAGGGCGCTTCCTGGGGGCGAACGGGCTTGCGCGCGTAATCGGGCCGGTGGGGTTCCGACATACCTGGAATAAGCTCGTCGAATTATTAAACAAGAGAGTTGGGGCCCATCTCCAAGAGGCCTTCGCAGAGACGCAATCCACCTTCACCTGTTGCCGAAAAGTTAAATGCGCCCCCGGGGGGCGCGGCGGCGATCGCGCTGCGTCGAAGTCGCCGCTGGACAGCCTGCGGCACTCCACGAGCTTAAAATAAGGGGCAGCTCGGACCAGCGCGCATATCCACGACGCTCAAGTCCCCGCTCTCCCCGTACATTCCCAAGATCCCAATCCCCCCAATAATAACTGGAGCTATCCTGGGCCCGTTGGATCGCGCTGTTAGCGCCTCGTGAACAATGAACAAGATGCCCCCAGCATTGGCCGCCCAAAGAAAAGAACCAGCGATTGTCTACGAGAGGCACAGCTTTCGCAACCCAGTCAAATCTTCGGATAATGGCATCGGGCCCCCGAGGCGTGGCCTTGTAATTCGGCCCAAGTAGCATCTGGCAGCTCTGGGCGTGCCCAAGTAGACACACATAGAGCATGCGCATTCCACGGATGCGACCTCCTAGCTGCTCGAGATGGGCAAGAAAGGGAATCAGAGAAAAGAGGGGTGGAAGGGGGCAGACAATCCGGGTGGCCCGTCACGGAGGGCGGCGGGGACACCGAGGGCACGCGAGAAGGCGAAGAGGAAGCGCTAGACAGAGCAGTAGAATATTGAACGGTCGGGCTGCTACTGCCAGACCGCAGCGACGGTCTGGTAGCCCCCGACGGAGGAGCCCGTTGACCCACAGCTGCACCCCCAGCTGGCTGGCAGAGATGGCCATCCTGATCGTGAGAGCGTGCTCGCGCGGGAAAGTGTCGAAGGAACTCCGTCGCTCGTCCGACTAGCTGGGCGACCTCCTGCTCGGGGATCTCCCGCCAGACGAACGGCGATCACGCGAGCTCAAAAATGGAACCGGCGGACTCGCCCCCTCTGATCCAGCAGAGCTCCAACGCGTCCTCCTGCGAGGTCAGATGGATGAGGCCCTGGAAGCCGTTGGCCCGAGGCGATGGTTCGAGATCTGGCATGCACTTTTTGGGGAAGTTCAACGCATCCACCCAAACGCGGCTGGCAGCCGTTCGCTTGGCCCTCGCATCGACCAGCAGATCCTGGCGAATGCGTAGAGGAAGCGTAGGTGATGTCCTCGGGCCCTGCCAGCGCGCCTGCTTATCACTCATGAACTCCGAGGCGGCGCGAGCCGAGGCCGCGCTGCCAAAAACAAAGCCGCAGCTCTTCGACACCCCCTTCGGCTACGGCAGCGCGTCGCGACGGAGATGCTCAGGGGCCATCGGGCGCGAGACCTGCTCCCGGTGGGCTGTCTTCTGCGAGCCAGCGGTGCACCGCGGGAAGGTGCCCACCGACCTCTCGGTCTCGTTGACGGGCGCGCCGCCAGGTGGTGACCCCGAAGTCGAGCCAACCAAACTCGCAGAGCTCGAGCCTGAGACTCCCGAGCCCTTCATGTCCGCAATACATGTAGCTGAGTTCTCGACATCCTTCTCAAGCTGGGCAGTCTTGTTGGAAGCCCCGAAAGCCGCCCAGGGGCCCTGCTGAAGCGCACCATTTGCATCTGCACCAGAGGGAGCGCGGTAGAGTCGCATCGCATGCAGAGACTCGAGCGAGGTCTTTATCGCAGCCATCCTCGCACCGCCCTCCGCCTTGTACTTCGCGAGCTCCTGCATGCTGTTGCTCTGGGACGTCTGAATATGAGCCGCCATTTGCGCGCGATGCGAGGACGAGATGGCCGACGGCGTCTCATTGAAGACTGGCGTGAACGCAGGCATGACCTGTTGTGAGATGTGGACGTAGTTCAGCTTTGTGTAATCAACGAACGACGTGGAGCCAGGAGTCTTCTTTCCTCTCATTTTCAACAATGGAGCGGCTGCGGTCACCACTGCCAGAAAAGATCTCCCGCACTAGACGAGCGCGTTCCACTACTCGCAAAGTAGCTACTCGCAAATCGCCTGGTTCCGCCGCGGGGGATCTACGATAAATTCCATCGAAGCAGACACAAGTGTTTTTTTGTTGCGGGCGTTTGCGAGTAGGCACTTTGCGAGTAGTGGAACGCGCCCGGTGACGTACGCTCGAGCTGTTACGACAGTCGAGTCTCTGCTCGGATGGCAAAGAGAAGAGTTGACTAGAACGCTCCTCTGAAGGTGAAGACTGTCTGTGCTGAGCACGTCGGCCCATCGCGGCATGAGAGGCTTAGAACTCAGCAAGGTGATTTACAATGCAAAATGCGATGCAAGAGGAAATCTGGCAGAAGGGCAGCATGCCACAACGACGCGTGTTCTGGCGCACGACTGGAATGTGAGGCCGAACCTCAGATGGGACGCTCAGACCAGGCCTCGGCAGCGTTCAAGTTCGAAGCGCCAGGTCGCACGTTTCGAACTTCTGCCAAAATGGCAACGGGGGAGGAGGAGGATAACGAGGAGGAGGAGGAGGAGGAGGAGGAGGAGAACAAGGAGGAGGAGGAGGAAAAGGAGGAGGAGGAGGAGGAGGAGGAGGAGGAGGAGGAGCAGGAGGAGGAGGAGAACGACGAGAGGAAGAGCAGCAGGAGGAGGAGGAAGAGGAGGAAGAGGAGGAAGACGAGCAGAACGAGGAGGACTCTGGCCAACCCGGACGTCCGCGGCGGCGCACCGCAACTGCACGGCCAGCGGCTCCACCCGCGTTTCGCCCGCGGGCCCCGCGGCCGCGGGCCGCAACGCCGCCCGCAGCCGCGCCGGCGAGGCGCCTCGGAGCACCGCGCGCGGGCCGAAGGCGAAGCCGACGCTGCACAGCGCGCCCGCCGGTCCAGTGCCCTCTAGGAGGAGGGAAGGGAGGAGAAGGAGGAGGAGGAGGAGGAGGAAGAGGAGGAGGAGGAGGGGGACGAGGAGGAGAAAGAGGAGGAGGAGGAGAAAGAGGAGGAGGAGGAGAAAGAGGGGAGGAGGAGGAGGAGGAGGAGGAGGAGGAGGACGAGGAGAGGGAGGAGGAGGGAGGGATGGAGGGAAGAGGAGGAGGCAGGAGGAGGAGGAGGAGGAGGAAGAGGACGAGGACAAGGGTCTAATTCCACTGCTGGAAATGCCCCGTTGGGAGACAACCGTGTGAAGATCCTGAAGCCCGTCATAACACCATTCTCAGGAACTCAGGCGCCATGAATCAACCTGACTGTTGCGTATTGACGACTCTGAATCGCGCCAGACAGCCAATCCTGGGACTCCAATGCGCGAAACAACTTAAAGGTTGCGCCCTGACAGTCCTGAATCATTCCAAAACAGAAAGTCTGGTACGATAGCCATGGAAATCCCAGAAACCCTTGCAGTGTAATAAGACGAGTGTGCGTGGCACGAAAGCGAGAGCCACATTTTGGAAAGGAGCCGCCCTTAGTGAGTGAAACTAATGTAGACCTACGACTCATCAGCGATGCTGAAATACACGCTCCCTCCAAGATCCCTCTTCATAGGCGGCCCCTACAACGGGTTACTTCCACTGGGAGAAATTCTCCCGTAAGGGGAAAACTGGGCGAACACCTTGAAGCGTGCCAAAACACCACCCGGTAACTCAAACGCCACAAGCTAATATGACTGGTACGTCTTGGCGATCCTGAATCGTGCCAGAACGCCATGCCTGGGACTTCAGCACCGCGAGTCAACGTAACTGTTGCGCCCTGACAATCCTGAACCGGTCCGAAACACCAGTTCTCCTACGTTAACCACGAGAACTAGTGAAACCCGTGCAAATGTTTAAAACGAATGTGCGCGGCGCTAAGGCGAGAGCCACATTTTGAAAAGGAACCGCCCTCAATGTGAAAGCCTTGCAATTTTGCTGAACGAGTGTGCGCGGCGCTAAAACGAGATCAGCATTGGGAAAACGACCCGCCCTCAATCCGTAAAGCCTTTACCTTTTGTTGATACGAATGTGCGCGGCGCTAAAACGAAAACCATATCAAGAAAACCGCCCGCCCTCAACCCGTGAAGCTCTGGCAAAGCTGAGAACGAATGTGCGCGGTGTTAAAATACCACATTCTGAAATCACCCGCCCTCAACCCATGAAACTGATGCCAACTGTTTGGCTTCAGGATCATAACTGGTGGGCCGCCCTTCCGACTGGCCTCGGGGTGCGACAGGGGGAAGTTATCTATAGGGAAAAGTAAGGGAGGAGGGAGAAAGGAGCAGAGAGGAGGAGAAGGAGGAGAAGGGAAAACGGGGGAGGAGGACAGAGGAGAGAGGAGGAGGAGGGAGGAGCAGAAGGAGAGAGGAGAGAGGAGAGAGTCAAGCTAGGTGCGCTCGCGTCATATCTGAGATCCTACCCCTCCCTCCGATCCCTGACCATTGCCTAGATCCCACCTCTATTCGCACAGTCGGATGTTGCAAAGGACGGCGATCCCCAATGGATATGCGATGCATAGCATGGCATAGCATGGCGTTGGGGAGCACGGCAGAGCGTGGCATGGCATAGCATAGTGTGGCTTTGCGTAGTCGAACATTGCACATCATAGAATTCTAGTGCAAGGCACGGTATCGCATAGCGGTACAGAAGTAACTTTGCATGACATGTCATGGCACGAAAACGTATCGCATGGTATGGCGCTGCACAGCCCAATATTGCAGATCGCAGCATTGCAGAACAGGGAACGTAATCTCGGAATCGCTGCATCTAATATAGCATTGAATTGCAGACGTCCCATGACTGCGTGAACGGTGCAGCCCAGAAACCATGCTGGAGGAACGGCAACTTGGAGATGAGGCTTGTGCGGCAGCGGGAGCGCCACTCGGACGGATCGAGAAAACGCGGAAACGAGGCCAGCGCTGCAGCGGGAACACCGTTCGGAAGGACCGCAGACGCGGAAATGAGGCCAGCGCTGCCGTGGGAGCACGGTCTTGAAGGACCAGAAGCGCGGAACAGAGGCCAGCGCTGCAGCGGAAAAACATCTTATGACATCCTGTGTGTGAAAACTATACGCGGAGAGGGCGGCACATGACCTGGACAGAGTCGGGGGAGAGAGGAGAGAGAGTAATCAGAGTGAGGTAACCGAGCGATCATTCGCTGTCCCTGGGCGCGTGGCTGAGGTGGGGTTCCACGGTGCGGATTCTTGTTGCGTTGGTGCGCTAGTGCGACGTTGTGGTTAAATTCTCGCTTCTGAAAACTAGCTATTATTACCCCCCCCCTCCTGCACCTGGTGTTTGTTCAACTGAGGTGCCTCTCCTGGGGCTCGGACCCTGCTTTTTATAAGTGCAAATCTCGAGCCTCAGACTGTTGTTGGGCCCGTTTAGGTTTAAACAACAGAGGTCCCCGCCTTATTCGTCATTACTATTTGTTAAAAGATCTGATTTTCGCTGAAGACTTCATTACAATTCATCATGGCATCGCGCTCTCGCATGATACTTCCTTAACATTCATTCACGAATCACTCTCTCGGCGCTCTACTCAGGAGCCGAGCTCTCGCCTGAGATGTCCTTGCCATCCTCTCTTGCTAATCCCTCTTCCTGGCCCTTGTCGTCACCCAAATTATCCCTCCCTGCCTCCTTCCCCCTTCCCTCCTCCCTCCTTTCCTCCGCCTCCTTCCTCCTCGCTCTCTCCCTTTTCCATCCTGTCCGTTTCTCCAATCTCAAGAAATTCGCCAATTACACGTGGCAGGGAATGAAGATGTACCCACTACTGGGGGCGCGATCAAAGACGAAGAGGGCGGGTACCGAGGATTTGGGGAACACGTATGGATGGCACGCGGGCATATGAGAGCGAACAGGATTAAAATGATGAAGTTCTCATTCCTTTGAAACGACTTCTGGTAAACGTCAATTGAAATGCCCCTCCAGGGGTTCGAATCTAGCTGCCTTCAAAAATTCGTTGGCTTCAGATTGTGTTGCCGGTCCTTGTGAACAACAACAGCGGCTCCCGCCTGATACTTTTTCACCATTGATTCAAATCGCGCTCTCGCGCAGGTTTTCCTCACAACTCATGCAGGGATCGCGCTCTCGAGTGGTGCGCTCTCGCAGTGTATTGAAAAGTCGCGCCCCCGCGATCCATGCGGGACTGCCGCTTGAGCAGCTCGCCCGCTCGACCCCGCCCGCCGTCTGGGCCCGCCCGCCCGACCTGCCCACTAAGGCTTAAAGGCCCGCCCGCCCGACCCGCCCGTTTGGTTCTGCCGCTTGCTGTTATGTTCCTGATCCCCCTTCTGCTAATCTCTGTCGTGTTCCATCCTTCGCTCTCCCTGTTGTTCCTTCCCTCCTCCGTTCCCATGTTTGAAGGGCTGCGCCAACTCCACGTGGCAGGAAAGGAAGATAGACCCCAAAGGGCGCACAATCGAAGACGAACGGTGGGCGGACAAAAAGTGTCCACACTTGTCGCGCCAAGACAATTCGTCGTCAAATCACGTCGAACGAAAATGTATACCCCCCTTTCCCCCAACTCAAAGTTGGCGGGGTTGAGCGGCAGGCCGCGCGCCAGGGACAAAATGTGGACACTTCAACTTTGGGTTTTGGGGGGGGGGGGTGCGAGGCAAGTGCATCATGCTGTTGCGGTTGTGATCACGTCGCAGTGCCTTGCCGCCCTGGGTGTGGACACTTTTTGTCCGGGCACCGTCCGGGTTAGATGTGTTTGGTGGTTTCATGGTGCTATCGTGCTTACATGTGTGCGTGCATTTAAATGTGTGTTGGTGCGTGCTTATGCGTCCGGCACGACAGGCAATTAGATGACGATGTGCGCGTATATGGAACCACGGGACACCCGCAGGACCACCGCGGGACAACCCATGGGACAACCCGCGGGACCACCACGGGACAATTATCCAACGATTCCTTATCCAATGCCCTCGCCGTATTGTAGCGCCAATCAAGAGCATAAGAACCACGTCCGGGTTAGATGTGTTTGGTGGTTTCATGGTGTT